GACAGAACCCAGTTTTATCCACTGTCCATGTTACATGTTTGTGCATTTTTCAAGAATGAAGATTCATCCTGTTCTATAAAACACCTCGCTGTCTGACGCAGAAACCTAGAAAAGCTCAGCAGCTTCACCAACAACGATGGCAAGAAGTTAAGTAATAGACGAGTACCGAAGTTGAACAGTCAGCAGTTCAAATGATGATGTACCACATGATTACAGGTATGTTCACCTCCTTAAAGAAACTGTGTGCAAGCTTGAAATAAGCAGAAAGAAACTCGAGTCCAAAACTGCTGCTGGTGATACTGAAATGAAAAGAAATGCCACAAACAGAAGGATCGTGGATCTCAAGCAGACAAAATAAATGTCAATGATATTCAGCTGAACAGCTTTTCTACAGTTTGTCTTAGACAAAGGTCCAAGAAATCAGCAGGCAGACGTCCAACCGATAATCCTCACTCCCCAAACGTCACATCACGCAGAAACTCCAGCAGCCTCGGTGACGTTCCTCCAAACTGCTGCGGAAAACGTGAGAGAAATCCTTCAGAAGTTCGGCTGCCTTCGTTTTTTGGCCTCGATGGCGTCGAGGATGGGCTGCCTCTTGGCCTGGTAGCGCTGGCGGATCTCCTCGATCTCCTGCTCCATCTGAGGGTCCAGAGAGGCGAGCTTCAGCCGCAGATCCTCCACCGACCACGTGCTTACCTAGAGGAGAAAACATCGAACTATGTTAAGGCTGCTGTTCTTATTCATCAGCATCGAGGACCTCGGGGTGTGTGAGACGGACAGTCAGGGCTCCTCATTAAGAGTTTGACGAGCGTTGACTTTCAGGCTCCTCTTATGTGGAACCAGCTCACAGTTTGGCTTCAGACTCCCTCCCTGCTCTCACCTGCTTTAAATTATAGTTCAGGCTCAGTGAGGTCACACTGACTTGGTCACATTTACAAATTTCAGAGAAAATTCTGAAACATTTCATTATAAATGCGGCCGATTCAAAATAATGGTTATCGCGTTACGAGAAACACGAAGTTTCTGAACACTGAACGTTTGTCATGAGTGAACTCTCACGGTCAGACAGTCGTTCACCTTAAACAACACGTGTAAGGTGTTGTTTAATGTGTTGTTCAACATTCGAAGCAGGATTTAAAGACTTGAGGGTCAAAGATCAACACGGACGCTGACAAAAACCTTTACCGCACCCTCAAAGGACATCACACGTGACAGCAATAACCAAAGTGTCTGATGAAAGTATCTATTCTAGCAGCTTTCAAAGGATGAATCTATTGACTTGTATTCAATCCCTCCTCTCTCGGTTGCCGGCCTCAGACAGGGACCTGGTGCCCGCTTTAGCTTTTCCCCCGGGGATTCCCCCTCTCAGCTTTTACCAGCAGCACAACGCTCTCAGGCTATTTATTACCCAGAATCAATAGAGCTAAAATAACACCGCCGTTTGAGTCCACTAGACAGATAACCGTGAACAAGGGAAGGTCCTACAACTGGACTCCAAAAAGGGCCAAAAGCTCACATCAACATTTGCTGCTGATGTGTCCAGTTTATTCAATATATTTACAGTAATCAATCATGAGTATTGCTTACAGGAATCATCCAACTAAAGCATTTAAAAATGGGACAAGACCTTCTTTGATTTATGGACTCATCAATGAAGAAGTAAAATTAACCTCACAGACCAACAAATATATTTTTTATGTCAGAAGCATTTTAACTTTTGGACAAGGCAGCTTAATTATTAAACCAGCCAATAAATTATTAATCGGTTATTAAACTAGCCAATAAAAAATACTCAAGTTATTAAATAAATGATGAAGTGCATCAAAGCAGCAACGGGAGGTTTTAACTGGAATATTAAGATGTGAACTTCGGAGCTTTATCAGTACTTTTGCTGATCAGCAGGTTCAAAGCCAAAGTGAAAGTGTGCTTCACCTAAACGCAGACGCACATCACACCTGTGCACCTGCTGCTGTTATTAACA